TTTGTTGTTGTTAAAAGTCTGAATCTCTCTTTTTGGATTCAGTGAATAAATTGAAGTGGTGTGACTGATGTGGTAACGAAGAAGAAGAAGAAAAAAGTTGAAAGTCAAGATTTTTTTCCTCTTCGTTCGTTCGTTCAAGATTTCCATTATCTTTTTTTTTTCGTATTTGATGTTCGATTTGAGCAATTTGTGTTTGCATGTGTTGAGTTTGAATTGTGTGTTTGTAATGTGGTTTTTATGCTTCCATCCATCCCTGAAGCATCATTAAAATAATCATCATCCGCAACAACATCTACCTCTCTGTACACCTTTTAATCAAACACAAACAAGTTTTTGTTTTGGCCATCCATTATTCGATCACTGAATTCGAATGAGCCATCCAAATTCTGTTTTTTGGTTTTTGCTGAAAAGTATTATCATTACTTTGATTCCAAAGAATTGATTCGAAAGATTTCCTTTTCTTTTAAAAATTATCTCAATGAAAGCATCAATGGTTAATTGTGACCACTAACCATCGATGATTGTTGATGCTCGCTTCTTTTTTCTTCATTATTAAGTGAATCCAAAAAATGCGAATTCTTCAACTGCGACGATTTGTTTTTCTCTCTCTCTCTATATATATGTGAAAACAAAAGTGGACAACAACAACAACAAAAATTTTTGGATGTAACATGGTGCAATATACTTGATATGTTTTGTAAAGTAAAAAATGACAACTGAACATCAAGAGAGAGAAATCAATAAAGAAATGGAAACATCATCATCGTCGTCGTCGTCGTGGCCGCATCTTATTTCTCATTATCATCATCATTAGTGATATGAACATACTTTCTCTTCGTCTCTGTGTATGTGTTTTTTTGATTTTTTTTTTATCTTCAAAATCCACCAAAAGAGAGAGAGAGAGAGAGAGAAGATAATTGATGATCAAATTATTATTGTTGTTGTGTTCGACAAAGAGGTTGGCTGATTCAGCCAAATGGTAAATTGTAAATGAAAAATTGATTGCTTTCGATCATCACCCAATCCATTTGACAACGGAGAAAACATTCGAAAACAAAAACGTTCGAAAACGAAAAACTAACCACCAACCACCACTACCACTACGAACATCGTAGAGATAATCATCATCATCAATTTCTTTAGGTTTTCATCAACTGAAAAACAAAACAAAACAAACAAACAACAAATTTTCTCTTAATCATTTTTTTAGTTTGTTTATTTTGTTTTTTTGTTTCTTAATTGATTAATGAAAAAAATTCTTCAAAAAAATTTCAACCGAAATTTATCTGATAAAGAAGAAATTCTTTGAGCAAACAACAACATTATTCAACCAACCAACCAAACGACGAAAAAATGATGTAATTTTGTTTTGTTTTTGTTTTGTATAGTGCACCAGTGTTTCTGTTTGTGTGTGTGTTTATTGTACCTAAACAATCATCATCAGATTTCGCCATTTGCAAAAAATCAAAAAAACAAAACAAAACAAAAGCGGATAGCTTTTTTTTGCATATCCATCATCCTGTTGGCGTTGGTGATTTTGTTTGTTTGTTTTTCTGTTTGTTTGTTTGTTTGGTTGAATAATCTCGATCGCTCAACAATAGTGTTTTCCAGCAAAATAATTAGCAGCGAAAAAAAAAATCTTCAAAGATGGCAACATCATCTTCGACAGCAACAACAACAACGATAAATTCAAATTCGAATGGATGTTCATCATCAACAATAAAACCATTCGTACGAATTGTTGAACAACCAGCTAAATGTGCAATTCGATTTCGTTATGAATGTGAAGGACGATCGGCTGGTTCAATACCCGGTGTTAATGCAACACCGGAAAATAAAACATTCCCAACGATAAAAGTTTTCAATTATCAAGGAAAAGCAGTTGTTGTTGTTTCTTGCGTAACAAAAGAATCACCATATCGTCCACATCCACATAATCTTGTGGGTAAAGAAGGATGTAAAAAAGGTGTCTGTACATTGGTTATTGATAATAATCCCGATATGATATGTACATTTACATCATTAGGTATACAATGTGTTAAACGAAATAAAATTGAAGAAAGTTTAAAATTAAGAGAAATGATTAAAGTTGATCCATTTCGAAGTAAGTTTTTTTTTCAATGTTATTTTGTCATTGATGATGTTCAATAATTTTTTTTTCTTTAAATTTTCAGCTGGTTTTGCACATCGAACACAAGCATCATCAATAGATCTCAATTGTTTACGATTATGTTTTCAGGTATTTATTGAAGGACCGGAAAAAGGAAAATTTACTGTACAATTACCACCAGTTGTTTCCGATGCTATTTATGATAAAAGTAAGCGAATTGTTTGTTTCTTTTAAACTTTCAAATATTTCAACAAAAAACTAAACTTACCGTTTGTTCTGTTTTTTTATTTGTTTTGTAAACATTTTACAGAAGCAATGGCTGAATTAATTATTGTAAAATTATCACATTATTCGGCACCATGTACCGGTGGTAAAGAAATAATATTATTATGTGATCGTGTTGCCAAAGATGATATACAAGTTAGATTTGTACAAGAAAATCAACAAAAACAATCTGGAATAATATGGGAAGCATATGGTGATTTTTTAGCCAATGATGTTCATAAACAGGTTGCCATTTCATTACGTACACCAAAATATTTTGATGAAACAATTTCACAACCAGTTACGGTTAATATACAATTACGACGACCATCCGATGGTTGTTTATCATTACCACGATCATTTCAAATTACACCAAGAGAATTAGATCCAGATGGTTTAGTTAGAAAACGACATAAACGTTTAAAAGAAGAAAATTATGATCTTTTACAAGAATATATTCAATTAGCTTCCAGGCAACAACAACAACAACAATCATCATCACCACAACATCAACCATCATCATCATCAAAATTATCATTAGCAACTGCAACAACAACAACATCGACTCAAAATACTGGTCAAATTATAATCAAAAGAGAAATGTCACCAGTTCCGATACAATCGATTACTAGTGGTTCATCACCTCGTAATTCCTCATTATATTCGACGACGACTATCAATAATAATAACAACAACAATGTAAATTCATCATCAACAACAAACGAACAACAATTTCAATTTATTCAACATTCATCATCACCACAATATGTTATGGTAAATATGAAATGAAATGAAATGATTAGCAAAATGAGATAATCTTATTCTTTTTGCCATCGATTTAGTCTGATTCATCGATGAGTCCATCACAACAACAACAACAATCTCAATATCAATATGATCCAAATCAAATAATACCATTATCAGGATATACCTCATCACCATCAAATTCATCATATGAATCAACACCGATAATTCATCATCATCTACATCATCAACAGCAACAACAACAACAATCATCATCAATGGCCTATGCATTGGCAACAGCAGCAGCAGCTATGGTCAACAATAATAATAATTGTGGTGCAAATCAATCAAGACAATCACCATCAATTATTCATCAACAATCATCATCATCAACTCAATATCATCAACAACAACAAAGATCATCACCAAATCCATCACAAGGATCATATTTATCATCACCAAATCATTCACCATCAACAACAGCAACGAATCAACAACAGAATCAACAACAACAAGAAATACCAAATGAAGTTATGGAACGTTTTGATTCACTTGATATTGATTCATCTGAATTAATACCAGATTTAGATTTTAATTCAAATACAATGCTTTCATTAATGATGGATACATCATCTGGTTTATCATTAAATTTATCCGATAGTTTTAATGATATAACCAATAATAATAATAATGGTTCGAATATTTTGATGAATGGTATTAATAATCAAACAACAACAACAAATAATACAGGAATGATTGATTCCTTATCAACAGTGAATCGAAATAAATTGAAATTGAATATTCTTCATCAGAATATGAACAACAACACCACCAACAATACAGCATTGGATACACCAATTATCGAAATGATAATGAATAATAATAATACGGATGATACATATTCGAATAATAACAACAATCAACAACAACAATTGTTTTCCACATTAGATTTGGATAATAATAATCATATAACACATTTGAATTGAATTTTTTGATTCGAATCAAGGAAACAGAAAATACTCTCAACCAAAAAAAAAAAATGAATTATAAACCTTATCGATTTCGAACGTTTTTTCTTAAATGAAACCAAAATTCTGTCACACACACAAACGAGATAGAGATTCAGAATAGATGATCTTTTTGGCTAATATTTTTCTCTTTAAATTACTCAAAATGAAAAATTTGACATAATATTTTTCTTGATACATCACCGGAAGAAAACAAACAAACTTTGCTCTATCTTTTTTCACTCATTTTTGTTTTTTAATTTTGTAGATTTTCAATACTTTTTTTTTTGTTGTTGTCGTTTTGTTCTGTTGTTTGCATAATAATAATTTTTGATTAAAAACAAGAAATTTTTTGTTTTTATCTCGAAGTCGATGTTTTTGTTGATAATTTCCTCCAAAAATGGTCAATCCATTTTGCATACACAAACACATTCCACAAATTTGAATGCCATCTATCGATATTGATTATTGGTTACGTTATTTTTTCAAAATCAAAAAATTAAAAAATTTGTATCTCTTTTGATAATAATTGTTCCATAATTGTATTTTTAACAGCTTGAAATACAATTTTTATATTACCAGTATCNTAAATTGAAATTGAATATTCTTAATCAAAATATGAACAACAATACAACATCAGCAACATTGGATACACCAATTATCGAAATGATAATGAATAATAATAATACGGATGATACATATTCGAATATTAACAACAATCAACAACAACAACAATTGTTTTCCACATTAGATTTGGATAATAATAATCATATAACACATTTGAATTGAATTTTTCGATTCGAATTCCAACAGAAAATACTCTCAAACCCCAAAAAAATGAATTATAAACCTTATCGATTTCGAACGTTTTTTTTTAAATGAAACCAAAATTCTGTCACACACGCAAACGAGATAGAGATTCAGAATAGATGATCTTTTTGTGGCTAATATTTTCTCTTTAAATTACTCAAAATCAAAATGAAAAATTTGACATAATATTTTTCTTGATACATTTTTTCGAACCGGAAGAAAACAAACAAACTTTGCTCTATCTTTTTCACTCATTTTTGTTTAATTTTGTAGATTTTCAATACTTTTTTTCTTTAAAAATTTGTTGTCGTTTTGTTCTGTTGTTTGCATAACTAATAATTATTTGATTAAAAACAAGAAATTTTTTTGTTTGTTTTTATCCTTTTAAATCGATGTTTTTTTGTTGATAATTTCCACCCAAAAAAATGGTCCATTTCACACACACAGAGAGAGACATTCGACGAATTTGAATGCCATCTATCGATATTGATTGATTGATAACTTGACGACCGGGCAATTTTAAAAAAGAAAAAAAAATCTGAGAATAGATAATCTTTGATTTATAATAGAAATTTTATTTAAAATGATAATTTTTTTCACTGATTACAGGATGTTTTCTTTCTTAAAAAAAAATTACATTAATTTTTTGCTTTTGGTTATTTAGTTGGATGCCAACATTGATTGTTGTTGTTGCTGCTGATGTTTTAATAGACGAAAATATTTTGGTTTTGCAATCAACGTTGGATTTATTATCATCAGTGGATTGGATGTCCGGTTACCGTGATCATCATTATTGCAGTTGTTGATCAGTATTTCACCTTTACAATGATCTAATTCTTCACCCCAACAAAAATGTTTACCCGGTTTCATATAGAAACGAATTTGAAATCGTATTTCAATTGTTGTCATATTGGATAAAATGATTGTTATCGTTAAGAAATCTCTTCGTTTTTTACGAATTTTTTCTGCGGGAATTTTTCCATTCGAATCCCAAATAAATGAAATTTGTCGGGAATTATTGTTGTTCATTGAACGATGATTATTATGTTGATTAAAATCAACAAATGTTGATGAATATATATCATGCTGGTCAGCAATACCTAAATCAATTTTTACCAATTGAATTTTCAGATTCGAATGAATTCCTTTGAATTGTATTTCAAAATTATATGCCGAATTGGTGAGCATTTTTAATGTTTGTTGCATACGAAAACGTTGGCCATCTTCCTGAAATTTGTTTTTTCAAGCAAAAAGTAAAATCATTTAAAATCTCTACTCATTTTCGAATTTACCAACCTTAAAATATAAAGGAATCATCGTTTCATGGTTGCCACCATCAACATGTTGTTGTTTCGAATATTCATTATAAATTCGAATAATACAGCCAATTGAATTCTTATTATTCATGATTGATTGATTGATTAATGATCGATGGTTTGAGATTTGATGATGAAATGATCATTTTTGTTAAATCAACAAACATTATTTGGTTTTTCAATTTTTCCATTTTTTCAAACTTGAATATTTTTTCGAATATTTACGCGCGGCTATTTTTTTTTCGTTTTACAAAAACTATTTTCACCCAAATAGTCCCCAAATTTTTTTTTTGTATTCGTAAACAATTTGAGCGATTTGTTGTTTTTGGGTTTTTTTGGTTTGAGCCAATTCAATCCATCAATATTGAGCTATTTTGGAACAAAAAAAATTTTTTTCAGCCAATTTTTTTGGTTTGTTTTTGGCGGTTTTTTAAAATTTGATTTGAATTTTTTCAATTTTTTTCTTTCTTTAAAATAGGATTGTTTTCCATGGTTGTTTTCTGGTTGTTCGAAACCGAAAAAAAATGAACAGTATCAATGAAAATAATATGAACGAAATTTATATTGTTGAATCACAACGTGGTGGTCAACATTTACTTACAAATGGTTATCATTATCGTTATGATCGTAAATTAAGTGATGGTATTACACAATCATTTCGTTGTACGGAAAAATTTTGTCGTGGTCGTATGTTTAAAAATGGTGATGATCTTAAAATGAAACATGAACATGATCATGGTCCGGATTTGATTGAAATGCATGTACAACGTGCAATGATTGCCATGAAAGAACGTGCACGTACAACCAATGAACCGGTTGAACAAATTATCGAAACACATCGTTCAACATTACCAACAGAAATTAATGAACGTTTACCGAAAGATAGTCAATTGATTCGTACGCTTGATCGTTTACGATCTTATTCGGGTGATAGATCGAAAAATAGTGGTGATCATAATGGTAATCATGGTGATTCTGGTGAACAACAACAACAACAACATGAAACAATCGAAAATACTCAACAATATATAACCGATATTGTTAGTATGCCTGATACTGTAAATTTTATTTGTATCGATACTAATCAACAACCACATCAACAAACATATACGGATTTAAATCAACAACAACAACAACAATCATTACCACCAATTGAACAACATTTTGTTTGTGAATTTTCTGAAAGTCAAGATAATTCGAATGATGATAATAAAATGACTGAAAAGAAAAGAAGAAAATTGGAATTACAGAAAATAATTGAAATGAATCGTAAAGCAAAACTTGATAATAGATCCAGAAGATTTTCAGCAAGAATGAAGGCAAAAAATTCAACAAATTATAATGAACAACAACGAGAAGATTTAATGGGAAATTCATCATCTTCGTCGATAATAGCTGAAACTCAGATGAAAAAAGAATCAAGAATCAATTTTAGCAATATTATTACAGCGCAACAAAAATCGCTACCAACAATAACAGCGACAAATATTCAACCAATTCAACAACAATCAATTATTGGTAATGGAAAAGAAGTAACCGATAAAGAAGCATGGGAACTTGTTTCACGGTTAATGATTTATTTTAATCAAGATAATTATGAAGATAGTCCAATTGAATCATTGGATGAATGTTTACGTTATGTACAAAAACGTATGCGTTTAAAACGTTTACAACAACAACAACAGCAACAAACATCATGATTTTTGAATTTTGGACAATGTTTTTTGATGAATTAAAAACCGATATTTTATTTATTTAACCAACAACGATAAAATCAACCATAATAAGTTATGTTTTTTGAATCTTAGTTAAAAACAGCTTTAAATATAAAAATAACAATGAAAAAAATCAATGATAATCCTAACAATATGATCATATGAATCATTGTAAAATTTTGAAGAATTTTACCCGAATCCTTACGACGTTTGATTGATTGGTTTGTTTTTAATGGTGCACGAATACGTTCGTTTGTAGTTAGAATTGCTTGACGTGCTTCTGGCCAATGATTTGGTCCAACCAAACGATATTGATACGGTACACATGGTCCAAACATTATATGTAAAAATAGTTTAAAATCAGTAAACAAATATTTCCAAACTGGTGGTTTACAACCAACTTGTTCGGATATTTCATCCATAAAATCGATCCAATCACATTGAATTGTATGTCGTTCGGATTGATAAAAACGTTTATTATAATCGCATTTTGAATCAATATCTTGTTCCATTGTTTTACGATCAGGTAATTGAAGTTTACCGGCCATTAATAATGAAAACCAACGTGCTTGTAATTCACCGATTGGTAATAAAGCACCGATTGGTTGTGCCAATGATATAAATGCCAATGTATGTGGATGTTTTAAATGTGCTGGAAATTGATATTTATAAAGGCGGATTTGATTTTTATAAACAGGAATTAATGTTTCCGATATGAATGGAAAATGAACTTTATAACCGGTTGCCATTATAACTGAATCACAAGGTGTTATTGCGTTTTCACCTGCAAAAGAATCAAGAATCAAAAAGCAGAATGTTTTTTTAGTAAAGAATTCTTTCGAGAAAATTAACTTTACCTTTGAAAACTACACCATTTTCAGTAAAATGATCAATATCGCTTTTAATTTTAACCGTACCCGAAAGTATTCGATTCGGCAATGTATCATTAACCATAATATGTTGTGATAAAACACGATGTTTTGGTTTTAATTGATATTCTTCATGATCGAATGTTGAATTCAGTTGCATTTCAACAACTGAACATACAAGTGAATATGGTAGATGACGAAAAAATTCATTCATAATTCGTCGATGCATTAGTTGATCAAATGGTTGTCCATTTGGTCCAACACGATTAAATATCCATGAACCGGTTCGGGTTGATAAATAAACCTGCAAAAAAGGATTTCAAATGAACAAAAGTAGCAAAACAAATTGAGCGACATCTTGTATCGATTTGAAGGAAAATAGCTAAATTTAAATTTATAAAATTTGGCGCCAATTTTTCGTTTTGGACACAATGACAATCTGAGCGCTTTTTGACCACAGTGGCCAGAGAGAAAGCCGAAAGAGAAAAGAGAAAAATCGTCGCTGTGATATATTGGGCTAAAAATAAACATAATCAGCGCCGCTGCTGTTTGGGCAAATTGGTGTAAAGAGAAGAGTGAACGAACGAACGAAAACTTGAAAAGAGCCATGGTCTACGTGACTTTATCAACGTTTTCGACTGTGGAATATTGAAGTGTTCGCGCCGAATATCATGTGTTTCGGTGTGTCGGTGTGATGATTGTCGAAGATTTTCGAAGATCTTTTTCTGAATCTTTTCACAAATCAAAAAAAAGATTTGAAAAGTTTCAACATTCGAATCTTGTTTTTCTTTTTTTGGCAGCCAAAACAATCATCCATTCATTCATCAATCAATCATTTTTGGCATCTTTTTTGGTTTTTATTTGATTTGATTCAAACAAACAAACATTCGACAACTAAATTCAGGTATGTTTTTCTCTCTTTCTTTTGAAATGTTCACAAAACAATCAAATTATGGAAAACTCATTTTTTCTCGGTGGAAAAAATGGGTCATAGAAATTTGTTTTTGTTTTGTTTGCCTGAAACACAATTCGCAAAATCGTTATTTTTCTTTTGGTTTTTCTAATTTTTTTTTCTTCTTTCTCAAAACAGAATTTCCTTTTTTTGAATCAAATATAATTATGACTAAATTTCATGAATCATATCATTTATCAACAACAAAATCGACAGTAGTTGGTCGTTTTGGTAATGATAAATATAACAACAATAACAATAGCGGCAGCAGCAATAATCGATTAGGATCGACTAAATCATCAACATCATTTGTTAAAAATAAATCAACAATGAATGTAAATAGCAATGATAAATGCGATAATTGTACAAAAGAAAAAACATGTTTACGTTCCAAACGTAAGTGTGTTTGATGGTGGCTATTGATTGATTGATAACTAATGTTTTTTTCTCTTACATTAAATATTTTTTTTAGAAACTTGCGATAAAAAATATGATTGGTGAATCAGCGAATATCTACTGATCGTGGCAAAAATTGTGGCAATTTTTTTCTGAAAAAAAAACTTTGATATTCGATTCTTTTTCTACGTTTTTTTCTGTATTGTTTTGTTGTTTGTTTTTCTATGCTGATTCATTCGCACAAATAAAAAAGTTTTTTACTTTAAGAATAACTTACCTGTTTTGCAACATATGATAATTCAACAGCTGCATCACCACCTGAATTACCAATACCAACAACAACTATGTTTTGATCTTCAAAACCATTCGATTGTTTTAATGAATGTGTATGCAAAATTTTACCATTAAAACGATCTTGACCGGGAAATTCGGGCATCGATATTGTACCATGATGTCCAGTACAAACCATAATACCATCATAAATATCTTCAAATATTTCCATCGTTGAAAGATTACGTGCACAAAGTTTCCAACGTCCAGTTTGTTCATAATCATCAGATAATTCTAATGATAATACTTCATGATTGAAACGAACATATTTGAGGAAATTGAATTGTTCACCATACATGTCGAAATAGGCAACCATTTTTGTATTATGCATATAATTCGGAAAATCCGATGGTGGTGGAAAATCCGAAAACGCTGACATTTCTTTACTTGAATTTATGATCGTTGATTTCATTACCGAAGCAATACCATTTTCATCCATATCGGCTTTGAAACGCCATAAACCACCAGTATAATTGGTTTTTTCAAATACAATCGGTTGTAATTGTTGTTCCAAACATGCTTTTACCGATGTCATACCGGTTGCACCGGCACCAATTATAGCAATTTTTTTACCCATCATATTTTCAATTGCAAAACACAGAAAAATCAAACAAAGTCAAAAATCACAAACGAAGCAAATTCAATCAATAACTTTCAATCAACTTTATATGATCAAAAAAAACGCTGAATGAATGAAATTTTTCAAATGAAAATTTTCTCGAATGACAAGCACACAGAGATAGACAGTCAGTTATCAGCGCGTCAAAAATCAATTAAAGATTAATGGTAATGAATTGATAATAAAGAAGCAAGTTTGATGTTTGATTTTTGATTTTTGGACGATGACGATGATGACGAATGATACAAAGTAGTAAAAATGAAAATTTGAAGATTTTTTTGCTTTTTTTTGGTATAGAAAAAAAATAACACCGAATAAAACACGAAAGGAGAGAAATTGAAAAATAGAGAAATACAATAAGGATTCAAATGGTTATTTCTGGTTTTTTTTTATTTATTCATTTTTTTCCATTCAAATTATGAAATGAAATTTAGAGAGAAAAAAAAAACAAATTGAGAGAAAGGTGGCAATCAGGATTTTTTTCAAAATTTTTTTTTGATTGTTTTGGGTTGTTTTTCATGTTGCACCAAAACCAATCAAAACCAAAATAATTAATCAATCAATTTGAAATTACACAATGAAGAAAAGAAAAGGAAAGAAATAAATTTTCTTTCTTTCCTTTTTTTTCATTGTCAATTTGTAATCGATTTGAATTGAAAAGAATAGAATTGAATTTTGAAAATATCATTAACATTTTTTTTCGATAAAATATGAGGGAAAAGAATTTGAATAAAGAAATTTTCAAACATTTTTTTTGTAAAATGGAAATTTTTTTTTTTGGTGATAAAAAGAAAATTATTATATGGAAAATCCTTTTAAGCTTTATTGATTTGATTGATTATTTAATCGATTTGATTGATTTGAAATTTTTTTTTCATTTTTGGTCATTTGATTCATTCAAATTGAAGAATTGATCAATGCAAATCTGTATTTGTGTGCGTAAATCCCATGACGATGGATGCTATTTTTATCCAAATTTTCTTTCCTTCATTGTTGGTCATATAACAATGGTTACCGATAATGTCCATTTTGGTTTTCGAGTCTTGGATTGTTTGTTTGTCCGAACAAGCTGTGATTGTTGTTGTTGTTGTTGCTGATTTTGGTCTACAAAAAAAGAAAGTCAAAAATTCAACCTGCCATTATTTCTTGACGAAAACAACAACAATAATCTTACCTGTTTTACCTGTGTGTAATATGCCATTTTTTGCAAAAAAATGGTGAACAAAAATGGAAATGAAAGTTTGAAAGAGAAAAGATGTTGACGACTGATGACCTACATTGTTTTCCATTACCGGTTGGCTGTTGAGATTTGTTTTGTTTTGTTTGAAACTTTGAAACAAAACAAAAATGTCAATATTTTTTGTTTGTTGAAATTTTTTTTGGGCAAAAGTTTTTCATTGAACCAAATCAATGTTGTTGTTGATGATAAATTTTTTGTTGATGTTTTCACTAATCATTTAAATATCGATCAAATCGATATGTTAATAATAAAACTAAACTAATTAAAATGATGATTATCGTTATTAATAATAATGGTATTAATATTAATCGATTCATTTTGGGAATTTTTTATTTTTTGGGAGAGAAAACACACACACAAAGGTAAATAAATTCCAGCACGCACTCAGGTAAATAGATTAACACACCAAAAACCAGAAATAAAAAAAACCATCGAGGTAAACATAGGGTTAACATTTGTATAGTAATATTGAATGAATATACAAAAAAACAATACCGGTATTATCAGGTAAACCATGGATACCTGAAAAACAAATATTTGATTTTGGTTTTTCAATTCAACCATAAATCAATAATCAATCATGATTTAAATATCAATCAATGGAATTTCACAGAACAAAAAAAAAATTCCATAAATTCTTAACCCCATGAAACCAAAAAAAATAAAAAATAAAAAATAAGTACATTTTTTGAGAAATGAATGATAATTGAATGTAAAATTCTTGGAAAAACGAACAAACTGAAACAAAAAAATATCAAAAGTTGTTGATATTTTCTGCCAAACATCATGTTTCTTCTTCGGGAAATAACCCCAGGAACACCAATTGTATATAAGAGAGAAATACAGGTAGTTTTTTTCAGGTATCAATCAGATTGATTTGATTAATAATTCGTTAACAAAAATGTATAATTCAACATTGTTTATCATGATTTTGGTCATTATTGTCAATACCTGTATCAATTTGGTATTATCATCATCATCCAAAAAACCATGGGATCCAGTACCACAATATATACCAACATATCAATCCAAACATCAACAATTATTAAATCAAACCAAACAATTTGGTAAGAAAATACAGATAGTTTTCCTTGGTGATTCTATCATTGAAAATTGGTTGAATAATGGTAAGAAAGTATGGCAACAATTTTATGAAAAACGTCAATCATATAATTATGGTATTGGTGGTGATCTTACACAACATATATTATGGCGTATTGATAATGGTGAATTGGATGGTTTACAGCCAAAACTATTGGTTTTATTAGTCGGTACAAATAATGTTGCTAATCATGATAAACCAGTGGATGTTGGTAAAGCAATGCAATTAATATTGAAAAAATTATTAACGAAATTATCGAATGTAAAAATAATATTGATGAGTGTATTTCCACGTGGTGGTCAAAAGGATGATCAACAAGTTGATGAAATTAATGAAATTATTAAGAAAAATTCAGATAATTCAAAGGTATTTTTTCTAGAAGTAACGAAAAAATTTCGTACAAATGTTGGACAATTGATTGAAAAACTTTATATGCCAGATAAATTACATTTATCGGAAGAAGGTTATAAAATGTGGCAAAAAATAATGCAACCAATGTTTGATAAGCTGTTAAAATAGTTATCATAATAATTACTTTATTATTTGAAAATTAAAAATCAAAAATCAAAAATTAAAAATCAAAAATCAAAAATTAAAAATCAAAAATCAAAAATCAAAAATCAAAAATTAAAAATCAAAAATCAAATCAATCAATAATCATATGAATTAATAATCGATCAATAATCAATCAATAAAAAACAGACATTTAAATGATATAATTGAAAGAAAAACAAAACTCTTGAAATGATAAAAAGCATCTTGATTGATGTTGTTTGTGCATAATCTAACAATATATATAAAACAGTGTAAGATATTTCAGGTGTACCACCTGTCTTCGATCCATAATAATAATAATTTTTTTCATTAGAAATTACATTGTTTTATTTTGTGTGTGTGTTTACTATCCGAAAAATGTTTCGTTCTTCATCAACAATATTATTATTGACCATTTTTTTGGTTACAAATATCATTTTGATATCATGTATACCATGGAAATCAGAACAACATAAAGGAACTGAATCAAAACATCAACATTTATTAAATCAAACACATGAATATGGTCAACAAATTCATGGTATTTTTCTTGGTGATTCTATTACTGAAGGATGGTTAAATAATGGTAAAAATGTTTGGAAACAATATTATTCCAATCGTCATGTATTTAATTATGGTATTGGTGGTGATCGTACTGAACATGTTTTATGGCGTATTGAAAATGGTGAATT